ACAGAGGGGATAGGATCGATACTGTTGTGAAGACGCCTTCCATCTCAATTGGTGTTTTGAGTTACTACATCCATAAATATAGGTCAAGTTCATCAGACTGTAGCAATTTATACTTGCTTCCTTTATCAAAACAATTTTTTTTTTTATCTTCCTAGTTGAGTTCTGATCATCAAGACATCAAAGCTAGGTTGAATGTGTACTATTTACAAGTTTGGGCATTCTTGTGGTCTCCCCTCACTTCATAGCAGCTGGATGCTTCACTTTCATCTCTAGTCCCCATTGGCTATATCTTTGTCTGACCTACATTTTCAATGGAGAGTTGTATGCTTGTCGGTAATTTCTGGTTTGGGTTGCCATAATAATTGGGAAGGGAGTTCCTGGTACTTATGGAGAAAGGCTTGCTATATACAGTAATATCTGAAAATGCTGGAACCAGTGTCAGAGAACAAAATTTCAGATATTTTGGTGTGGTGCTGTGGGTTAATGTGCTGGACTACAAAGTTGATTTGAACCTCAAGGTCATCAGTTCAAGCTCATCAGCCGCTCTTTGGAAACCCTACACAAAGTCGCTGTGGGTCGGACTTTAAAGAGGTGAAGAGCAAAGATGTCAGCTTGAGGACTAAGGTGCACCTGACCCAAGCCATGGTATTTCAGTAACCTCATGTGCATGCAAAAGTTGGACAGTGAATAAGGAAGACTGTAGAAGAATTGATGCATTCGAATAATGGTGTTGGAGAAGAATAATGAAAGTGCCATGGGCTGCCAAAAGAACCAACAGATCTGTGTTTGAAGAAGTGCAGCCAGAGTTCTCCTTGGAGGCCAGGATGGCCAGACTTCATCTCTCATACTTCAGGCATATTATTGGGAGGGACCAGTCACTGGAGAAGGATATCCTGTTTGGTAAGGTAGAGGCTCAGAGAAAAAGAGGAAGACCCCCAGCAAGATGGAATGACACAGTGGCAGCAGCAATGGTCTCAAGCATAGCAAGATTGTGAGGTTGGCACAGGACTGGGCAGTGGTTCGTTCTGTTGTGCACAGGGTCACTATGAGTCACTGCTGACTTGGTGGCACCTAACAACAACAACAATAGAGAGCAATGAAGTCCTGGTGTGAGGCTTTGGGCTAATATGTTGGACTGCACGGTCGGTTTGAACAAGGTTGGTGTGGTGGTTCAAGCTTACCAGCTGCTCTTCAGAAATCCTATACAGGGTCGTTATGACTAGGAACTGACTGGACAGCACTTAACAACAACAATAGAGAGCAATATAAAAGTGCTAAGACTGCATCTGGTCTAAGGCAAAAAAATAAATAAATAAACAAAAAACTCTTGAGACCTGAAAAAAGAAAGCCGTCCCATTTAATTCTGGCTCTTACAGGTTACATTGTAGCTGGTGATGCATAGGAACAATCTAATATAATATAGAGTTGACCCATATCCAACACGACTTTCAAATGACCTATTAGACCCTGGCGCTGGAGGTTAATGCACTGGACTGCAAGGCTGGTTTGAACCTCAAGGTTGTCAGTTCAAGCCTATCAGCCGCTCCTCAGAAACCCTATGCAAGGTCACTATGAGTAAGAACCAACTCCATGGCGCTTAACAATAATAACAACCACTAGAACCTTGATAGTTAGCCTAGATACTAACTCCTTTTTACTTAGAAACAGGAAATGGTTTTGCACTCTTCAATAGAAACTAAATTTCCAAGCCTGCCACTCTCTGTACATTGAGGAATGATTGTATTTTGTTTTATTGAAGAGTTACTAAAATGTGTTCATCTTTCCTGAAATCAACTGCCTTCCTAGCTGTAGCATTGCAAATGACTGCTTGTAAATTCTAGAATTCTGAGAATTCTGGCCCAAACCTTTGTTGTTGCTGTTGAGTGCGGTCAAGTCGATTCCAATCCATAGAGAGCCTGTATAGGGTTTCCAAAGAGCGGCTGGTGAGCTTGAACCACTGATCTTGCAGTTCAAACGACTTTGCAGTCTGACATATTAGCTCACAGCGCTACACCAGGACCCCCGCCCAAACCTTTACATGTTGATAAATTATTTTATTTCTTCTTAATTTTGCAGCTAAGGACTAAATTAAGCGCTATGCACATGAGTGACTAAATTATCTATGCATTCTGTTCCCAGATTATAGGAGGCATAATTTATTGATTTATTTTTGTTTTTTTAACTTTTTATTGCGAACTGAGTGAAGGTTTACAGACAAGATCATCAGCTTTACATTCAACAAATCATACACTTTGTTTCATCTCTATATTTATAATCCTCTCTATGCAATAAATTATCCTGCTTTCTCTCTGTGATTTCTGTTTGCATTCCACTCACCTTCCTATCCCTTTTCAAGTTTGTCCTTAGAAAAATGTTGCCCTTTTGATATTGAATGATTGACCATTCCAGGGTGAGTATACCTTGCTGGTATTGTTGACCCCGCTTCTATAAACCTATCTACTGCTTGGCTGAAAACTGGGTCACGAGGGTGAGTTCCTTTCCAGACCTGAAAAGGTGGTCCAAGGCCATTACAATCTATTGATTATGAAAAGTTGCCCTTGGGACTGGTGAGACCCCAGAGCGGGAGCGGTCCTCCGAACGCTAGGGGACGCTGTGGCGCCACGCGACTGCAAGCTCGCTCTCGCGTGGCCGCCCCGCCTCGGGCCCCCGGGCCGAGTGGGCGGGCACCGCTGCGCCCAGGTCGCGAGGCGCCCTTCGACCAGCAGCGCCCGGGGCGGGCGGGTATAAATGGAGCGGTGGCTTCCCCAGCCGCCTCTCTCCGCCCCGGGTCGCCGCCGCCTCCACCGCTTTCTGGCCAAGCAGCTTGAAGCAAAAAAGAGAAAACGACTAAAGAAAAACAAGCGAAAACGCTTTAGAAATCTTTAAGAAAAAGAAAAGGCAATTCCTCCGAGCACCCGCAGGAAAGTCACTTGCACGCTTCCGGCCTGCCCCGCGCCAGCCGCCGCACTTTCGCGTCTGTCCGTCTCCGTCCGTCGGTCCGGTGGTGAGCAGTTCGTGTCTGCCCGTCTGCCGCCTGCCCTCGTCCACGCGTCTCTGCGCTGACCCTGCGCGTCCGTCTGTCCGTCCCTCCCGATCCGCGCGCGCCGCGTGGCAGCCTCCGCACCCGCGCCCCGCCGGCCGTCCTCGCCCCCCGCGCGCCGGCAGCCCGGGCGCACCACGTGTCCGCACTGCCCTTCCCGGAGCCCGGCGTGGGAGACGGCTGCGCGCACGCCCGCCTGGGGCTTGCGGAGTCGGCACCCACCTAGATTTTGTTTCCCTCTTCTCCTGGCTGTTGTAATTTTAAACCGCCAAGAGCCCTAGGCCTATATTTATAGAGAAACGTGTGTCCCGAAGGCCGCCGAGGGCAGCATTTGGTTGCCTCTTGAAGAATTGGGGAGAGGACTCTCCATTTTAATACATATATATTTTTTGGGAATTAGGAGGTTCAAACCGGGACAGCTGCAAATTACAAACTCCTAAGAAGGGCCATATTGCTTTTTGGGGTGCCTTTTGTCTGGGGTTTTGCATCCTCTCCTATGAGCTGTCCCTGAACTCCTATTTTCCGTCTTCTGTGTGTCTGAGCCGACTCCAGAGCTTCACTCTTGCCACCTGTGAGCCGCCGCGCGGCCACAGCTCCAACAAGAGCCTCTTTTGTCCTGTGGTGATCCCTAAAAGAAGTCCTCCTGGCGGGGATCGGGGTGGTGGGGGGCGGGGAGATGAACGCTGCAGCCAGCAGCTACCCCATGGCCTCCCTGTACGTGGGTGACCTGCACTCGGACGTCACCGAGGCCATGCTGTATGAAAAGTTCAGTCCTGCGGGGCCTGTGCTGTCCATCCGGGTCTGCCGTGATATGATCACCCGCCGATCCCTGGGCTATGCTTACGTCAACTTCCAGCAGCCGGCTGACGGTGAGTAGACGCTATCCCCACAAAATTGGGGTCTCAAGGATCTGGGCAAGTCCCCACTCATGAAAAGGATCACCGACGCAGCATGTTGCCCCAAAAGCCAGTAGTGGGGGGCCTGATGCAAGCAGGGGTTAAGAACAGGGGCCTGTACCAGATGGCTTCTATCGCTTGCGAACTGGGTGACCTTGGGTGAAGTGAAGGTGGGGTTGGAACCCAGAAAGAATGCATAAAGGGGATCAGAGAAGTCCTACCATTCCATTGTGTGTGATCCTGCTTAGTGGGGCTGGGCTTTAGAGACCCTTGCCTGGTGAGTAGGTATGGCTTGTGCCCCTCCCAGGCCTGCCAGAAAGATAGGACGATTGAAATTCCATTCCCTGCAAAAATTTGAGATTGTAAAACTGCTGGCTCCTCCTCTACCCTTGCCCTGGCCTGGGGTCTCTCAGGCTAGGATGCCAGGGGACAATTCTATGCAAGGATTTGTATTTGCTCCTACAGCCTCATGTGCAGTCAGTACCCATGCCAAGTCCCCAGGCTGCAAGTTTGCCACTGGGTGAAGGAGGAGTTCTTCTGGGAAAGTGCCACCTGGAATCCCACTGGGTTGGGGGTTGGGGCTGGTGAGAATTATCACCTTAACCTCTACAGCGATTGACACTTTTCACTTCCTGCCATCTGAACAGCAATTGGAGGCTAAGTTGGGACTCTCAGTGTAGTGCTCTGGCTGCCCCAGATTGGAGCAGTGGTGAGGTATGCTGCAGGCATGGCAGGAGTGAGGCAAGAGGAAACTTAATCGGTCTGCACGTGATGCCAGACTAAGAGGGAACAACTGCAGAGACCATTACTGGGAGAAACAAACTATTCTGTGGCAAAGTCCCCACACTGTTCCTGAGGCAGAGAGATTGTAATTTGCCCCAGGTGCATATGAGACCAAGAGAATTGGACTTGGTCTTCTTAGCTGAGTTGTCTTGCCCTACGTACGAGCACAAAAGTGGTTGAGTGACCTTTTTAGTCAGGGAGTAGTGGGTACAAACACTTAACTGTTGCCTGCTTTCTTGCCTCTTCTGAACAAAAGTCCTGCCACTTAGATAGTAGCAGAAGCTGTTGGTCAATGTGTCTGCCAACACATACCTCTGCAGGACCTCTCCCTGCTATATTTAAGTGCAGTCAGATTTGTCAGACTAAGCCGACTTGCCTTCTGCAGTGCTGGCTTGAAATAGAAAGAGGAGTTATATTATAATGGCCTCTTTTGCTACTAATCAGTAAAATCGCTTGGGGTCCCAGGCCATGAATCTCTGATAATCCTCACAACAGATTCTCTGTTCAGTATCCCCTTTCCCCGAGAGTGAATAGAAGATACTCCCTTGACTGACTGGACCCCTGAATTTATGGAGGTGAAAATTTCCTGAATGTTGCCGCAGAGCAGGAGAAAGCTCTCCCACTCTAGCCCTGTCTAAAATGCCCTCATGGAGGAAGTTTTAGGTGATGCCATTGCATTAGTGAAGTCACTGCTATGAAATAATTGTGTAAGTCAGGTCTGGGTGTCCAGTGAAGAAATGTGTTGCTGGCTGGCAGGTGGTTATTTTAGTTTTTGATCTTTTACATGGTCTCCACAGTGCTAACATTTACTTGGTTGGCAAACTAAGGAAGGATTCCAAGGCACTTGGGCAGTTGGAATCTTGGAAGTGCATAGAATTCAGGTAGCTTCATGTGAATACCCCCTTAAGTGCTGCCAGGTTCCAAAGACTTGGGAACTACGAAGCCTCTACTTTCAGGCTAGGCAGAATGGTTGGCAATCCATTGTATTATAATAATGCCAGTTTCTTATAAATGATGAAGTCTAGTCAAATATGAGGGAAGTTTGAATGTGGGTCCTACAAGGCCGTTTAGATTCTCTTGTTTAGCCCCTTTACCCAACAAGGACTTGGACTAGAAAGGATCCAGCTTCCTATCATGAATTAGAGTGGTTAGCTGGAATTTACAAGTTCTGGTATGGCACTGTAGGATAAGCACTAAACTGCTAAACCGCAAGGTCCGCAGTTCAAACCCACCAGTCACTCCTTGGAAACCCTATGTTGTTTTTTAAGTGCCATTGAGTTGCTTCTGACCCATAGAGACCCTGTATAGGGTTTCCTAGGAGCAACTAGTGAGCTTGAACCACTGACCTTAAAGTTCACACTGACTTGGCAGTCCAGCGAATTAACCCACAGCACCATACCCTACACAATCTTTATTTATGAGTTGTGACTGGCTTGACAACACCTAACAACATTTTACCCTCAGTAATAAATGGGCTGTAGGAATTTGGTGCCCTTTCATTTTAATTGAGTAGCTTTTTTTTCCAAAGTGGTTACCTTGGAAAGTCCTGGAGTAATTTGTGACAGTAACCTACTTACCTACCTGAGAGTACGGTTTTGTATTCTTCCACTGAATGTGTTTCTCCTACAGCGGAGCGGGCTCTGGACACCATGAACTTTGATGTGATTAAGGGAAAGCCAATCCGAATCATGTGGTCACAAAGGGATCCCTCTTTGAGAAAATCTGGTGTGGGAAATGTCTTCATCAAGAACCTGGACAAATCCATAGATAACAAGGCACTTTATGATACTTTTTCTGCTTTTGGAAACATTCTGTCCTGCAAGGTAAACACTGATGAAACAATTTCAGCAGAATAAGTACTGAATAAACACCAGGAAAGTGCCTTGGAAATGGGCAGTGAGAATGTGGTAATTTTCAAAATGCTGGAAATGGCTCTGAATGCTACAAACTCCCTGTTGATAATCTAGTGGGTGCTTTTATGCCTTCATTCATTCTCTCAGCCTGAAGACTCCTGGTTTTCTAGGTTTGGAAGACCTTAGATTTTTTTTCGGAGGGTGGGCGACAAAGAAATGCTTTGGGGCTCCAAGAGGTTTTAGTCTAATCATTTCACATCTGTTTGTGTGAAGCATTTTGTAAGGCTTTTCTGTGGTGTGTTATTTACCTGTCTGATTTCACCAAAGCCCAAACCAAGCCCACTGCCATTGAGCCAATTCTAACTCAAACTGACTATAGGGCAGAGTAGAGCTTCCTGCCGTCTTGATGGAGCTCTGGTAGTGTTGTAATGGGTTATGAATTGAGTTGCAAACTGCAAGGCCAGCAATTCAAATCTACTAGGTCACTGTGAGTTGGAACCAACTTCATGGTACAAAACCACCAGCCACCAATCTTTATGATAGCAGACTGCCATGGCATTATTCTGTGGAGCAGCTGGTGGATTTGGATCACAGACCTTTTGGTTAGCAGTCAAGTGTTTATCCACTGCCACCAGGTCTGCTGTGCCATGCATGACTCCACACTAGATTGAAATGCCCATGTCCTTCATGGAAATGGAAAATGTTTCATCTTGCTACAGCACTGAGGGTTGTGCCCAGAGGTCTTAAATGTTTTTTTAATGAAAGTGAGTAAGAAGGTGTTTGGAATAGAAGCAGCCTAATAATAGTAGCTTCCATTTGTAAATGAAGCGCTTACTAGGTGTCTGGCACTGTGCCAAATGCTTTATTTGCTGCCGTCTGCCCATAAATAGGCCAGAACCATCTCAAAACAGGAGACCCCAGCGTAAGAGACAGATGAGTTCCCCATATCGCTCAGAGCTGGCCAGTGGTGCTAAAATGGCCCACCTTGTCTTTAATAGGTGGTGTGTGATGAGAACGGCTCTAAGGGTTATGCCTTTGTCCACTTCGAGACCCAAGAGGCTGCCGACAAGGCCATCGAGAAGATGAATGGCATGCTCCTCAATGACCGCAAAGTGTGAGTGTCCCAGTCTGGAGCAACAACCATCGCATGAGCCAGCCGTGGCCCCACTTCGGTATTAACTGGCACACACAAAGCGGCTACTGGTTCTCGGCCCAAGTGTGGCCTGCTCCTACCTCTCCACTCCAGGGCTGGTGAGTCTCCCTGCCCAAGCCATGGCAGCCCTTTTTGACTCGCCAAGGTGGGCTTCCTGCCCATGCCATAGCCTGCCTGCCACCTCTCCCTTAACAGCATTCGCCTGTGGGTTTTGTGAGCATCTGGCAACTGGGGCTGGCTGGAAGGCAGCTCTGAGCCCACTCTGAGCGGGGGTCTTGGCCAGTGGCAGAGTGGAGAGGGCCCTGGACTGACCAGGAGCTGTATATTAGTCATGTGCCCTTGGCCCCTTGCTATGACTCAATGTGTACATGGGTCACTGACTTAGTTGTCATTTCCAAATTGATCCTAACTTAGGATTCAGTGGCTTTCTACTATAAGGCTTAATTTAGTTAATGACAAATCCTATTGCAGAAGACACTGTTCTAGCAGGCCTTAATGTTGTGTTGTCGTTATTACTGTGGAGAGAAGGGGGAGTTCCACACTGGGGGAGGAAGTGGGACAGTGAGTCTTGGCATGAAACAACCCTGTCTGTCCTTTGTGCTCTTGAGTAGATCAGAGGATAGGCTGCACTGATCTATGTGCTTGGCACTCAGGTGTTTCACAGGCATCACTAGAAGAAATATTTTGCAGTATTTGGGAAACAATTCCAAAAATAACTAAAACCGCAAAGGTTAATTCCTAATTCACTCCCAATCGTCTGACTCCTTCCAGGATTAAACAACCACCGATAATTGGCTTGTATCCTTCCAGACTTTTTCTATGCATTTACCTAGATGCACAGAAATGAACATTTAAAAAGAATATGGTTCTGTCTATGTCATCAGGTTCCTTCACAAAGGCAGTGTGATGTGTGTGGTAGAAGTAGCCCTGGTCTAAGCCAGGAGCCCTGGGGATTGGTCCTTGCAGGAAAGTCCTGCCTCATACTTTCTGCAGGAAGGTGGCGTCTTTGCGCATGCTCCAGATTCCTTCATGCCCCTGGAAATCATTATTTGGTCCTTCTGGGTGATCACTGGTTTTCCTGGTTTCTTTTTAGGTTTGTGGGCAGATTTAAGTCTCGAAAAGAGCGGGAAGCTGAACTTGGAGCCAAAGCCAAGGAATTCACCAATGTTTATATCAAGAACTTTGGGGAAGAAGTGGATGATGAGAGTCTGAAAGAGCTATTCAGCCAGTTCGGTAAGTCCTACCGCATCTCATCCCCAAGACTATCTGAGCTGCTTGGAATTAATTAGAAGGCCAGACATAGTGCCTCTGTCTGTCTTGTAGACCATATGGGTTCAGCAAGTGGTTGGCGTCAAGTAGCTATCTAGAAGCATGCACTCCTTAAGCTGCAGAAGAGATGGTGTTACTAATAGTTCTGTCCTTTGGTAATAGGTAAGACCCTAAGTGTCAAGGTGATGAGAGATCCCAGTGGGAAATCCAAAGGCTTTGGCTTTGTGAGTTACGAAAAACATGAAGATGCCAATAAGGTGAGAATACCATCAGGGTCTGTAGGTAGTGGTAGCCCCACTGGCTTAGGGCATGAGGACAGGACTTTCTTATTGTTAGCACAGTGGAGTTGGAATGGTCTCGAGTAGATATCTAGTTGTGGTGGGCACAGTTACTATGCTTTGAAATTATCTAATAGTTACATGTGTTCATATCATTTTAACTCTTTGCAGAGTGCTTGGCACATACCTTTACTTTAACTGTATTGTCTAGCCCTGTGGGTTGAAAGAACAGGATAAGTGTTTTCCCGCCCAGAGTTGCTGATTTGATATCAGCGTAGCAGCTCCTTACTGGCAGAGTACTGACCTATCTTACTTCACAAAAGAAACAAGTTCAGTGAAAACCAGATTATAAACCTAGGCCTATTTCTACCATACTCATATTTATACAATACCGTTTTTTCCCTGTATTTGGACCAGAAACCCAATGAAACAATCCCGTTTTACAGATGAGGAGTATGGAATTGCTTAGTAGACTTCAGAGATTGGAATGAATTAGTTTTTTGCCTTCCAGGAAAGGTTTCTTTCCCCCAGAATAGTTGGTGGGACTTTTAGACCTCCAGCCCCCCAGTTTTAACATCTTGATTTAAAGACCTGTATTTTCTTCCTAGGCTGTGGAAGAGATGAATGGAAAAGAAATAAGTGGGAAAGTCATCTTCGTAGGCCGTGCACAGAAGAAAGTGGAACGGCAGGCTGAGTTAAAACGGAAATTTGAGCAGCTGAAACAGGAGAGAATTAGTCGATATCAGGTGAGGTGGTCTTGGCCCAGCCTACCCAAGGGAATTTTACTATGAAGTGTTTGCACAGCAGCCTTATTCAGCAGGCATTTTCATTAGGGATTTGGAGTGTGCTTCCTTGCTTTTCTCCCAAGAGTATCATGTTTAAAATTATATGCCTACCAGATAGGGCAGTAGTTATAAAGCAGGGCAAAAGGGGCACCTTTTACTTAAATTCCCCTTTATATGGAATGGTGGCAAGAACCCACTGAGGTGAAGGGTAAGCTCTAGATAGAGCGGCCAGAGCAGCTGTGGGGAAAGCCAAGTGACTGCATTGCTGGTCCTGTCAATCTCAGGGCAGTGGTTTCTCAATTTACATCCTGCAGGCTCGTTAACATGTGGATCGTTCGGTCCCAGCCCCAGAGTTGCTGCTTTCTTAGGTTGTGATCTAGCATGAGAATCTGTATTTCTAACAAGCTCCCAGTGATGCTGCTTCTGAACTAATGAGCACACTTTGACAATCCCTGTCTCAGAGTATTAGGGTTACAGAAGTACAATTAACAGTGATGCTTCTTTTTCAGGGGGTGAACCTTTACATTAAGAATTTGGATGACACCATTGATGATGAGAAGCTAAGGAAAGAGTTTTCTCCTTTTGGGTCAATCACGAGTGCTAAGGTATTTTCCTACTGAGATTTGGATACTGAAAGAGAAATTTAGAGGTTCATTGGCATTTGTCTCATTGAAGGAATAGGATCTAAATTGTGCTAACCTCTAGGGGTAGCTACCAGTTACCCTTCGGAATATGAGTATGCTCTGGAAGATGACACTTCATCATGTGAACATTGTACTCTCTCCCAAATACTGGAGTATGGAAATGCATCCGACCCCCAGTGCACCTGAATCTTTCCCATTCTCTGCTGCCTCGTGCTGGTGTGGGGACAGATGGTGCTACAGTATGAGCAGAGGAAATCCAGACGGGTAGTTTCCATTTGCCTTGGGGCCTGTCTCTACAACTCTGCCACACTCCTTCCTGAGAGGGGGTTTTGAGGACTTAGGAACTGGAGTTGGGAACATTTGGCCTTCAGCAAGACAAATGGGGTGGACTATTTCTCTATATAGTTTTGCAGTGTGCCTCATTGCTTGATTTTTCTCTGATAATCCTACCAACTGAGTTTGCAGGGCAACTTCTATTTTAAAGATAAGGATGGAGTCCTTGAGCAAAAGAATATTGGTTACATGAGGATAGTATACTGAGTGTCCTTGGGAGTGTGACGTCTGCAGTGCTGCTCCTGCTGACACAAAAGTACACCAGATTTCAGAGAGCCCTTAGGTGAAGAGAAAAAGGGCTAGATGGGCTGCTAAAGGTGTAGGGGCCCTTTCTCAGCTGTCATGTACACCACTTAACCTGGGGGTGTTAATGAAGATAATCATGTGCAATAGGGAGAGTTGGCTTAAAGGCACAAGCTATGCCTGGGGCTCCCCCAGTTTCTTGCTCCTCTGTCTTAACCACCCTGTCAGTACAATGACTGATAGTCTTTCCATGCTTATTTGCGTAGTAATCTAGCTGGCATTGGCAAGAAGAGCACAGAAGAGACATGTTGTAATCATAGCACCATTTTCAGGAACATGGTGCTGCATTCTCCTCACACATCTTACTGGCTGGCCTTGTAGAGTTGATAAGCTGACATGTATTTAGGTCCATGTCCCCAGCTTTAGAAAACTCCAGTGAGTTACTACAAAATGGTGCCATGCACATATATGAGGGTGAGTCAAAGTGTTGCTACTTGGATTCCAGATCATGCATGCATAGCCAAGAACAAAAAGTTAAAGAAAACTAAAAAAAACAAAAACAAAAACACACACACACACAGTCACCCGTGGATGACTACAGACACAACTTGTCTTAGTCTAACTAGTGTGCCTTCAGAGAAACCTACAAGGGGATCTGCTAGGCCAATTGAATTCAAGACAGAGATTAGCTCAAGAAGGTTATGGCAGTGATGTTTTAGGATTCCTAAAGGGAGTCCTGGTGTGGCGCTGGGGGTTAATGTGCCAGACTGCAAAGCTGGCAGGGTCAGTGGTTCAAGCTCATCAGCTGCTCCTCGGAAACCCTATACAGTGTTGCTATGGGTCGGAATCGACTCGATGGCACTTAACAACAAAGGATAATCTTGATAGATGTTCTCAGGACACAGGACAATCACAAGGACTTAAGAAGTTTTAAGAAAATTGGCAACTGCATTCGTTTGAAGGCAGGAAAGTTGTGCTGTGGAATATTCCTTCATGACAAGCACTTCCACATTTTTTTGAGGGCAGCCAGGTCTGACCTAGAGTATTTCATTGGGAAAACCTCACTATCCATCCTGTAGCCCTGATCTTGTCCCTTCAGATGACTTTTTAAATGCAAAACTCAAACATTTAAAAGAAAGCCATGTTGAATCCCATGCTGTTTGACAATGGTGTCAATCAAAGGGCCCAGGATTCTTTGGGAAGTTTTTTGTGCCATCAAGTCAGTTCTAGCTCAGCAACTCTGTATAGTGTTTTTGAGAGTGTCAGGTGGTTTGAACTGCCAACCTTGTGGATAGTAGCCCAATGCCTATCCTACAGTGCTCCGCAAGGGAGAAAATGACAATAGAGTATCAGGAAACGTGTGTGTGTTGCTGGTTCAACCACTAGCCACAGTGTAAAGCATCTGGGAACCTTAAGATCACCTGAAATGCCTGTAGGTCCTATCCTCAGGTTGTGCCTTCCTTGGTCAGAAGAACTTCCTAAGTTAAGGTAGAAAATCCCTGGCCCAGCATAGTAATTTAACCCTTGCAGTGGTGCCCAGCTTTTCTAACACTTCTGAAGTACCTGCCCTTCTAACCCCCTTAATGCACATAGAGCTTTTTCTTGAATAGCCATTCTTTTGTTTTGTAGGTGATGCTGGAGGATGGGAGAAGCAAAGGGTTTGGCTTCGTCTGTTTCTCATCTCCCGAAGAGGCAACCAAAGCAGTCACTGAGATGAATGGACGCATTGTAGGCTCTAAGCCACTGTATGTTGCCCTGGCCCAGAGGAAGGAAGAGAGAAAGGCTCACCTGACCAACCAGTACATGCAGCGGGTGGCAGGAATGAGAGCACTCCCTGCCAACGCCATCTTAAATCAGTTTCAGCCTGCAGCTGGTGGCTACTTTGTGCCAGCAGTTCCACAGGTGGGTCTTTGGGTGCTCATGGCTTTTTGGATCCTACCTACTGTCATCTGCTCCAGGAATGTGCAGTGGGGGCAGGGAGTGATTTTTTGATACTGGAGTTTTCAGAATGTCAGTAAAGGTCTCCAGGATGTTCCCATGGTTTGGTCTGAGTACACTACAGAATAAGAAAATCAGCTTGCAAGTTCCAGCCTTTATTCTGAATAAACAGCCCAAGGCCTCCTTGCTAGTGAGATGCTCTGGTGTGGGTTCAGACCCTTAAAGGGTCTTGGATGCTGTTCTTTATTACAGACTCAGGGAAGACCACCATATTACACACCTAACCAACTAGCACAGATGAGGCCTAATCCACGCTGGCAGCAAGGTGGGAGACCTCAAGGTAGGTGGGGGAAATGATGACTTCATCTCCCAGGATATAACTATCCTGGCTTCCCCTGCCTTTCCTGTTCGCAACCTCCCAGAGAAAGGCCTTTTAAGAAGGGGGAATGCTTAGGCCCTACCTTCAGGCTTGTCAGCTATGTGCAAATTTTTTTGGTGTTTTTTGCCAGGCTTCCAAGGAATGCCAAGTGCTATACGCCAGTCTGGGCCTCGTCCAACTCTTCGCCACCTGGCTCCAACTGGTAATGCTCCGGCCTCTCGTGGCCTCCCTACTTCCACTCAGAGAGTCGGTGAGCAAACTGGCCTTGAGAAGTATTGTCCGGGGAGGAGGGAGTCAGGACGACTAGACCTGGCCAAGCCATACATAGTTTTTCGTGTCCTGGTTCTGTCATTTTAATTGTGTGGTTAGGTAGGTACTTTAGGGGTCAGAGAAGTTCTAGAACTGTTGCTTTTAGCATTTCTGCGCTCATCGGTGACTCACATGCGAAAGAGATGGACTGTAGCGGTCTGTTAGCTGGATGACTACTGAGGCAGCCTGTTCTTCTAGGAAATTACTTTTCACGGAATAGATCATGCTTTCTGAGATGTGGAAAAGAGTTGTATATTACTGGTTGGCTCTTCAAAGTAGCAGTAGTGACACCCCCAGCAGCCCCCGTGTATGATTGTGTGTTGTGTGAACATGCTTTGGAATTGCTCCTTCCGTGGGACGTGGCCAGTTGGACAGCTGCTGCCAACACTGATGTGCATTTGCTGGTCTGTTGTAGGGTCTGAGTGCCCGGACCGCTTGGCTATGGACTTTGGTGGGGCTGGTGCCGCCCAGCAAGGGCTGACTGACAGCTGCCAGTCTGGAGGTGGTATTGGATGCACAGAGATGGGGAAAGATGGGATTTTACGGGTCTTTGCCCAGACTGATGGACTTTAATTCTGTTCTTTTTTTTCCTAAGGTGTTCCCACAGCTGTGCAAAACTTAGCACCTCGGGCTGCCGTAGCTGCTGCTGCTCCTCGGACTGTGGTACCATATAAATATGCCTCCAGCGTCCGCAGCCCTCATCCTGCAATGCAGCCTCTGCAGGTGAGGTCCAGCATGCAAAATGCTACAAGGATTTTTCTGCTTCTCTCCATTTGAACGGTGCTTTGCTTTGGTTCCTTCAGCAGGTCTCTGGTGCCTGTTGTGTGTCAGGGGGCTGTGTTCTGCGTGGTGAATTCCTCAAACACTGACTGTCCCTGAGGGGCATAACAAGTAAACACAAATATAAATTGTGTTTAGTGTCCTGGCACTTTTTGCCTTATTTGTTTTTACAACAAAAAAAGTGCTCAGCTTTTCGCACTTCCAGGTCAGGTTCCCATCCATTGGCCTATTTGATCCTTAGCTGTCCAGTAAGATGCCAGGTACATTTAAGACGGGAAAGAAGCCGAGTCTTATAAACTAGATGTTTAGCTTCAGATCTTTGCTGTTTCTCAGCTGAGACCTGCATTATCTCCAGAGCTGTGGCCCACTAAAGGTGAGCCAGGCTGCAGCTAGTTGGTCTCAAGGCTCAGTATTGGTGTGCAGTGGAGGAGCTGCATTCACCTGTAAGACACATCAGCTGCTTAGATTTCCTCTTTAACCTTCTTCCTGCCCTCATGCGTTCTAAGTTTGAAATTTTCAAGAACTGGCTGCTATGTAACAATGCCTTCTGCCTACTTTTAAGGCTCTGACTGACCTTGACATTGCATGTTGATGAAACATTTGATAAAAGGTATAGAATAAAGGTGATGTGAGTTATAATGGTACATTCTGATATGTATATCCTTTGGCCCAGTGTCTGTTAAGAAAAATTTCAGGGAAAGGCTACATAGCAGATGTTCACTATAGCCTTGTGTAAGAAGGCTTCAAATTCTTGAGTAACCTTGTGTAAATTAAGTGACCTTATGTCAGGAAATCCTTGCCTAGTATTATTGGTAAGTGCCATCGAGTTGGTTCTGACCTATAACTGCCAACTTTGCAGTCCAGTGTATTATCCTACAGCAGCACACCAGGCCTCCGCCTAGTAGTAGAGGTTTATTTCACGATTTTTACTGTATTTGATTATATTTTTTCTTCACCCTAAATCCCTAAGGACTGAAATTAGTTCTCAGCATGCATGCCATCTTGTATGTTTTTGGAGTGGTTGGGATGTCTTAACCTACACCATAGTGAAGTGTCCTTTCCTTGGTTGCTAACCTGCCCCTCCTGGTTCCAGGCCCCACAGCCTGCAGTCCACGTGCAGGGACAGGAGCCCCTGACCGCCTCTATGCTGGCTGCAGCACCCCCACAAGAACAGAAGCAGATGCTAGGTGAGTGACCCACTGACCTGCAGAAGAGAGACCCAAGCCTGGGGTTGGCCTCAATCAACTCCAGCATCCGCTCTTCACTGATTTGATCAGACTTTTTCTTATAAACATCCTTCCCACAGGAGAACGTTTGTTTCCACTTATCCAAACAATGCATGCAAACCTTGCTGGAAAGATTACGGGAATGTTGCTGGAGATTGACAACTCTGAGCTGCTACACATGCTGGAGTCTCCCGAATCTCTCCGCTCAAAGGTGAACTGGTATTGAGTTCAAGGGTTGTCCTCACTGGGTCAGGAGAAGGAGTCCTTGTCCCCTTGACTTAACTGGTGCTTTGTGATTTGAAGTCTGCTTCTGTGGGTATTTGGGAAAGTAGTCAGCACCCGGGCGGTCCAGGGCCTGTCATACCATTGACCTGCTGGTGATTTCTCACAGGTGGATGAAGCTGTGGCGGTTCTACAGGCTCATCATGCCAAGAAAGAAGCTGCCCAGAAAGTGGGCGCTGTTACTGCTGCTACCTCTTAGACAAGGAAATAATGTATGTTTGGCTATTTTTTCTTCCTGAAAGAATTTGGGGTTTTTATATAGAGCCACTTTTGATAATTTAGGCAGGCTAAAACCTGGGCCTTTTCTGTCATAAACGTAGTGTGGGGACGAAAAGGGAATTGTCCTGGTTTTGAATTATAAGGAACAAAGTTTTCTCTAGAAGGATCCTTCTCAAGTGACCTTATTGGTTTGGAATAGCAATGGGTCATAAAGGGTTCTCTTACTCAGATCTCAAAGCCTCCACTCTGAGCATTCGCTTCCTGGGCTTTCCTGAGTTTGAGGAGGACTGCTTAGCTCTGGAGACACAAAGGGTTATAAGCCCTTGGCATCAAGGATCTTGATCTAGTGGGAGATAACTGACTACAGTTACAGGGTGTGTTCCAGTCTGAACTGGATTCGGGAGGGCTACAACCTTTGCCTGAAGGGGCTTGGGTGAGTAAAGCTTAACAAGGACTGGTGGTTGCCTCCAGATGGAAAGAGTCAACTATAGGGCAAGGTAGAGCTAGTGTGGAGGTGGGTGTGCCTTGGAGTAGGCACACCTCAGGGGCTCTGTTGCTTTTAAGTGCCATGGGTGGGTTCCAGTCAGTAGCCACCCTGCATCAGGTTTGTGAAGAATGGCTGATGAACTTGAACCGCTGACCTTACAGTTCAAACGACTTTGCAGTCCAGCACATACAACCCCAGTGCCACGCCAGGGACTCCCAAGGGTCTAGGAGCTCTCTCTCATTAAAGCGTAAGCAAGAGGACCACAGAGGCTTTGAGTGTACAGGATGGCAGAAGAGGTGGGATATACCAGTAGCCAGCTTCTAGATGAGGTTTTCAACAATGGCCTCCAGTGGCCTGGAGACATTTGTCACATCTGGGGGATAAGTTACTGGGTAGAGGTCAGGGATGGTGCTCAACTTCATACAAATACAAAAGAAATTTTCCACAACACAGGATTATCCAGCCCCAAAGTGTCAATAGTTCTGAGATAGAAACTCTGCTTTTGGGAACCTTATTTTATCAGACAGATTTCAATGAATTCTTTATCCCTGGAGCAGTTATTTTGATGCTGTACTTAACATTGGTACTTCTCATTTCAGGATTCAAAAGCCAAATAAAACCCCTCCTGGATTTCAGCTCGTTTGAAGACTTGTAGCTTGTCCTATGGACCTCAACATCAAGAACCACAAATTGCAAATTTAATAGGTCATTTTGTATCAAAAGGTCAATTATGAAACACCTAGAATTTTTCAATTATACAAATATATTCTCTGGGTTTTGACATAGCCCAGATAATGTTAACTTTTTTTTTTTTCTATTGTGGGTTTTGATTTTTTTCCCCCAGAAATTGGTTTTATTTGATGTACCCAAGTCTTAAGTTTCTCAATAAAGAAGAAAAACCTCCATAAAACTGTCTTTGTTTTCTCCATGTTAAGCCAACTACACAATTGAATTCTGTAAATCCTAGTTTTCATTATAAGATTTAAGAAATGTAAATAGGATCAAAGAAACTTCTGTATAATTTCTTATCCTATACCAGCCAATTTTGGGTTAACAGGGTATGCAAGGAGTCCTGGTGTGGCACTGTAGTTTAAGCATTGGACTGTAACCACTAGGTCAGTGGTTCAGACCCACCAGCTGCTCTTCAGAAACCCTATGAGTCAGAACTGGCAAGGTATGCAGAACTGTTAAAAGATGATTGTGTCCCATTATATTCTTTAATATTAAAGTACTTTATTGACCTTGTTTAACTTAATAGGGAATAAGAATCTGGTGTGGTCAGAATAGACCTTGGATCTGGCGCCGGAAATTTTGAGGCAGAGTAGGGCTGGCCCAAGGACACAGGGTTAAGTTTCTCAAGAAGTCAGGCATGTTAGTTGGACAGTGTCACACAAAGTTTGCCCAGTCCCCTTTCCTACAGTCTGTCCAGGAAGCAGAGCTCTGGTGGCGTAGTGGTTACAAATCAGGCTGCAAACCTCAAGGTCAGTGCTTGGAAACTACCAGCTGTTTGAGGGAGAAAGATGAGTCTGCTCCCGTAAAGATTTATAGCCTCGGAAACCCTGAGTGGGACCAACTCCATTGCACATAACCACCACCATCCTGGAAGCAAACAGTTGACTAGATTTCCTAGGAGTTCTAGATAGAGATCTGAGTGACTACAACAAACAATTGTAAATGTTATTTTGTGATTAACCCAATCAAGGTCAAGCCATATGTCTGTCCTGGAGTGTGCCAGCCAACTTGTTCTTTCTACTTGTGGTAAGCACCCCCTTTTCCACAAGGTCTCACCCTAAATGTGGGGCCCTAAAAGATCTAATTACTGGACTGAAAGGTCGGTTTGAATCACAAGGTGGGCTGCCTCAGAAACCCTATACAGGAAGCCTTTAACAATATGGGGGAAATCCACACAAAACTAAGGACAAAGGAAGTAAAAGGGAACAACAAAAGTGCTATCAACAATCCTAAATCAATGAAAATGTACTAGCAGATGACTAAAGTGAGGGTATGCAGGAGTATATGCAGTGTTGATAGTGGATTGTGTTGTTGAGTCGGTTCCCACCCAGAGTGACTCTTAACAGGGTTTCAGAGGAGCAGCTGGTGAGCTTGAACCACCAACCTTGTGGTTCAAACCAATCTTGCAGTCCAGTGCATTAACCCACCTGTTAAGTGCTGGCGAGTTGGTTCCAACCCATAGCCACCCTATACAGGGTTTCCGAGGCTGTAAATCCTTACGAGAGCAGAAAGCCTTTTTTTCCCACGCAGCGGCTGGTCACTTCGAACTGCTGACCTTAAGGTTCGCACCCCAATTCGTATCCACTACGCCACACCTAGGCTTTCTACTTCCGTAAAGATTTACACCCTCGGAAACCCTGTACAGGGTCGCTATGGGTCGGAACCGACTTGACGGTATTTAACAACAATGCCACACCTAGGCGTTCCAAAATACATCTGGGAGCAGATCACCAAGTTTTTTTCTCTGCATAAGTTCAACCCACTTTCAAACCACTGACCTTCCAGTTAGATGAGCACTTAACCATTGCACCACCAGGATTTCTTCATTCAAAAGTAGGCACTCCCGTTTCGAGCGCCCGTTGTGTTTCATATTACTGGTTGTGTGTCACCAGAGGGCTCTCTCTAAACCACGGAGCTGGTCTAGTGAACTGGGGTTAATCCGCAGCGGGAACTAGCAGGAGGAAGGGGTGTGGCGGGGATGGGGCGGGGCGGGTTCAGCGTCGACTTCCGGCGGAAAAGCTGGGCAGCAAGATGGCTACCACCAAGAGGGTTCTCTACGTGGGTGAGTATAGTGGATTTTGTGGGGTTCTCGGTAGTAGAGTTCGGTTTTTATCTGAGTTGGGGGCGGCGCTGAGTAGTCACGACTCCAGGCGACGAGCGGCGGCCTGAGCCGGCTCTCCTGTGGGGCTTTTCCTCTCAGTAAGGACCCGGCGCTCGCGAAGTAACGGCTTTGTTGCCCACAGCCCTTTCCCTTTCTGACCTGGGATCCAGATAGGTGGTGACCCCATGTTAAACACTTGCACCCATTCTTGCTTACACCCATTCCTTCCACAAATTTCGCAACCCTTGCCCCTTAGAAAGCATCTCTGGTAGCGTAACAGTTACGAGCCGGGCTGCTAATCTCTGTCAGCAATTCTAAACTACCAGTTGTTCGGCGGGAGAAAGATGAGGCTTTCTGCTCCCATAAAGATTTCCATACAGCCTCGGAAACCCTGTGCAGAGTCACTATGAGTCGGAACCGACTCCACGGTACTTAACCACCACCAGCCAGCCCGTCATAAGATAGTTGCTAGTTAGGTTCCGGAAGCCGAGTTCCTACTCACATTGATCCTGTCTAGGATTTCTTAGGCTTTAAATCTTTTAAATCTTCGCAGGAGCAGAAAGCGTCTTTTTCCCGCAGAGCTGCTTGCGGGTTCGAGCCGCGGACGTTGGGAGTTCACAGTACAGTGCTCATTGTAGGAAGCACCCGGCTCCCTAGAGTAGCCAGGCATTATGGAAACGGCCTCCCAGCAGCGCAGCTTGGTGCGCGCTGTGATGGGGTTGTACCAGGATAGTGATGACCGTGGTTGGGTAGGGATTTCCGAGAACCACCACTGTTAGCCTGAGAGGGAAGGTCGGAGCTGGGCTTGAAAAGACCAGGAATTAGCCAGACAGCCAAGATAAGAGCAAGGCTGTTTCCGGAATGGAGACTTCGTTGTTCAGGTGCTGTCTGGTTCCGACTCCTGGCTACCACTTGTGTGTTACATAGAACTGTGTGTTACATAAAAACTGCTCCGGGTTTTCTTGCCTGTAATCTAAAGGGAAGTCAATTGCCTGGTCTTTCGCCCTGGATGCGTCTTGGATGCCGCTTGGTGGGTTCCAACCCTCAGCTTTTAGGTTAACAAGTGCAAATTGTTTGTACCATTGAAGGACCTTGAATGGAGAGCAACAAGTGCAAAAGCCCAGAGTTGTGAAGTAGCCCGGCATCTGGGAGCAAATAGTTGAGGGAATAAGGGAGAAATAGAGGCTTCTTTGGCAGTGGGGGACTTTTGAAGAATTAAGTGCTGTCAACTCGTTTCTAGCTCATAATGACCCTTATAGGTTTTCTAAGGAGCACCTGGTGGGTTTGAACTGCCGATCTTGTGATTTGAAGTCAAATGCTGATCCTGCAGTGTCACACCATGAGTCTGGTAAGCAGGAAAATGGAGCCCTAGTGTGGCGCTGTGGTATAATCATTGGACCTCCAGGTTGGTTTGAACTACAAGGTCGTTGGTTCAAACTCACCAGCTGCTCCTTGGAAACCCTATACAGGATCACTATGGTCGGAACCAACTTGATGGCACTTAACAATAACAACAAGCTGGAAAATAAGGGGGCTTCAAGGTTGTGGGAAAAAGAAATGAAAAGAGAATGGGATTTTTCCATGAACTTTTTGAAGTCCCTTTCCTGTGCCTGTCCAATTCATGCGTTCTTATAATCCTTCTGGTGACTAACAGAGAAAGAAACAAGAAGCCCATATAGAAATGGTCTCCAGTAATCAAGGGCTAGATGAGGGTCTGAAGAGGGTGGGATAGGAGTGAACCTCACTTGTCCATTTGAGTACCCAAAAGACTATAGGGACTCCTGTTCTTTCCCCCTCTTTGTGGCTACTGCTACAGCGTGTTGCACTAGCTGTTCCAAAAATATAGAAGATGATGGCTCAGAAGGCCCCTGGCATCTTTACAGGTGGGCTGGCCGAGGAGGTGGATGACAAAGTCCTTCATGCTGCTTTTATTCCTTTTGGAGACATCACAGATATTCAGATTCCACTGGATTATGAAACAGGTAAGTCCTTTTAGCGTTGTTTTCAAATTCCTGATACTAGAAAAAGAAGTTGGGGAAAAACAACACTAAGTCATGTTTATTCTGTGTATAGCTGGTCAATTCTCTTTATTTGGTAAAATTTGTTTGTAAGCTCAACATCAGTATGGCATTGTTTCGTAGTCATTTACAGAGTGATACAAAATTTGAGTCATCTGATGCTCATTATCATCAGAGGTTGAAATAGTGGTACTTTGCCTTCTTTCTATTGTTTTGTAAGCAGGTGGCCTTTTCATGGTCTATACTATGCCATGCTTTTTGCATTTGTGTGCTTTTTGTTGGTGATTTTCCAGTTTAAAATGACTCCCAGGCATAGTGCTGATGTGGTTTCTAGTGTTTCTAATCACAAGAAGGCTGTGCTGTGACATTAAGAAAATGTGTGTTAGAGAAGTTCATCCAGGCATGAGGTTAAGTGCTGTTGGCTGTGCTTTCAATGTTAATCAATTGACAATATAGATTTTTAAAGGTTGCTGCTGTTGTTAGGTGCCATCGAGTTGGTACTGACCCATAACAACCTTATGCACAGCAGAACCAAACACTGCCTGATCCTGGGCCAACCTCACTACTGTTGCCACTCTTGAGTCCATCGAGGCTGCCACCTGGCCAATCCATCTTGTTGGGGGTCTTACTCTTTTTCTCTGACTCTCCACCTTACCAAACATGATATCCTTCTCCAGTGACTGGTCCCTCCTGACAATATGTCTGAAGTATGAGAGACGAAGTTTGGCCATCTTGGCCTCCAAGGAGCACTCTGGCTGCACTTCTTCCAAAATGGATCTATTGGTTTTGTTGGCAGCCCATGGCACTTTCAATATTCTCCTCCAACACCATAACTCAAAAGCATCAATTCTTCTATGGTCTTCTTTATTCACTCTCCAGCTTTCGCATGCATATGAGGTTTTTGAAAATACCATGGCTTGGGTCAGGTGTTTATGATAGAGCATAACTACCACCAATAATGAGACTCAACTGTAATGAAGCTCAGAAGGGTAGCTCTGTAGGTCAACAGCATGTTTGTGATCTTGGTAATGCAAAAGGAATA